CACACACACACACATACACAGGCCCACTAACGCACAATGAGTGGTGGTTTGGAGACAGTGTGGGAGTGCATACGCCTCCGTTTCCCAAAATAACCGCCAGATGAGGGGCAGGGAGGCAGGGCGAGGTTGGTACAGGGAGATAAAAATGGATGTTAATTGTATGGCTCCTTCAGATTACACTCAAATCCAGCAGACTTATGCACAAACACACACTCAAATGCTCTGTGTATGTGTGTGACAATGATCCTGCTTGTACCAGAAACTCATTCTCACTCACACACTCTTATGGATGGTAGTTTTATGGCTCTTAAACTTTACAAAGTTAGTGCATACATGGCTTTACCCACACTCACTCACTCACTCTCACAGACACACACACATACACACACACACACACACACCACACACATCACACACAGATTAAAATGGATAATAACTGTATGGTTCTCAAACGGCAGCTGAATCCAACCAAAAAGAGAACTCCCATGTATTATTTCTATAATCCCTCCAAAAATAGAGTTCAAAAGAGCCGAGTCTCAATAGTCTTTCTCTAGAGCTGCTCCATACTTACACCACTGTATGAAAAGCTGACTGTGCGGACCGTTTGTCCAAGCTTAGAAACACATATTAGTTCTGTTTGGATGCACTGAATTAGAAGAAGCTGCATCACATCGCCTTGAATCCCAGTCGCAGCTTCCACAAAAAAGGTTTGCTCCTCCTACTCAAGTGTCATTTATTGACTTTGCAAAACAGACTAATTTTGTTCCTGATCTCACAAGAGGCTTTTAATGCATGAGTGGGGAGAGGAGAGAATGATGTAGAGAAGGAGAAGAGTAAAGAGGCAGCTCTAGATATAAATGGTAGATAATTACATGGTTGACTCGCCTGCATTGATGTGAGGAAAGTGCAAGAGAGCAAAGTAGAGAGGCCGTCAGTGGAGGATACACAGTACCATACACACCCTATATAAAACATTTTTTTCAAACAATAAGGGACAGAGGACATGCTTTTTTTAACATAAGCTGTACTTTTCTGCAGTAGCAGCTTTTTAGGAAATGACAAATGTTTCTGTTTCCCCTTGACGTTTTATGATGCACTTTACGAGGGTAATCCCAATCCTGACATCATGAAACATTTCCTAAATGTTGCAAAATGTGTTATTACAGGACACAGTTGCAATTAAATATGGAACTCAACCTATGGGATTTTTCCTGAAGTCTAGAAGATTCATATAGCCAACCGTTCACACAGTAATTCACGGAAAATACCATGTTTGTGGACAAGTGGCTCTAAAAACCTGCTAGGAGTGGCTCCTAGGTTCTCTATTACTTGTGGTTTTCACCAAGCCCCCAGGAACAGCTCGGGGCTTTGAAGCCAATTTGACATAGTGACCTAACTGTGTAATTACAGTAATGGTGTCCATCAAATGATGCACGCTGGCGCCAAGAGACTTTTTCCCATAAGGTTACAGTGTGAAAGAAGCGGGTGTAAAACAGTGAATAAACTTTGAATTCCTAGCGTCACAAACCCCGGCAAAATTACATGTTTCACAATCAGAATTTGATCCATTCGCTCCAATAACATTATGAGCTACTCAAATTAAAGAGCAAGATCAAGAGCCACTCGATTAAAATCCTTTTATCCAAGATAGCAGAGTAAGCAGCCGCACTTTTGCAGGCTTTCACATAGGAAAAAAAGCCAGGTGAGGTAACCAATGAAGCCATATTTGATTGCAATCTAAGCCCTAATTGGAAGATTTAACGAGCAAGATCAACAACTCAAAGTCCAAAGGAAGCGAATCCAAAATTCATGAAAGAAAATAAAGACTCATTATTAAACTCATTATCCATTAATCTAGGAGGTCAGATGTCATGTCCAGTAAGACCAAACCAGTAGTTGAATTAACATCCTCATTTCTGCCGTTTCATTTATTGTAACACTATCCTAGAATTATGAACTTATGAGAACCATAACTTTTCTTATTTCTATCTATAGCCCTGTATGATAAGGTTAAAAGTGAACTACACCAGTAAAACCCTGCTTTTATATTAATGCATGAGTAATAGTCGTGTAATTATGCAGTCACAGGGGACATTCTTCTGCATTGAAACTTTGTACTAGTCAATGTGATATAGGTTTGCTAACACATTCAACAGGCCTAAGAAACCAGACGACCTGAGACAGGAGCTGAAGCAGTGTGACCAAAGAGCAACACAGCTCAGCAAACGTCAGGACAGATTAGTCTGTAGTCCTGCCTCCCCACCTGCTGCTCATACAAGGTATGACAACAAACTGATCAGCAGGATTTTCTATCCTCTCCTTGCATGTCTCAGGAAGAAGGAAGGAATAAAAGAGAAGAAAAAGGAAAAGAAGACTTTGGTGGATGTTTAACATGCCTTACCATAAATATAAATCAATTAAAATGACTTTACCGGATGACTATTTAGTCATGTTCAGTAAGAGGCAGTATAATCTGTGTATGTGTTTACACTTGCATGTCTGCTACCTCTTGCCCCACCCTGTCCTTATCAGCCTTAACATCTGCCAAAGGCAAATCATACATAACTGTTGTGTAATACGGGTTCCCTGCTTATTTTCCTTTTCACCGTAACCCTTCATTCTTCATACTGTCTGCTAATCCATGGCAGAAAGGAAGATTTTCATTCATCATCATTGAGCATCAGCAGGCAACCTAAGATCAGCCAAGGTAAAACAGGTATTTTAATGAATGTCAGTCTGTCTGTAGTATTTCTATTTTATTCTACTTTTTGCTTACATAAATTAGGTATCAGGTTCTACAAAGTGGATAAGATTAGTTTAACCTCAACCAGCTATAACATTGAAATGCTGCTTACACTTTAGTAATAATACAGCTCTCAAAGAGGCCATTCTCCTGCATAAAGTGCTTTTAGTAAATTAAGTACACTTTGGTGATACTTTTACTCCGGAGTATTATAAAACTGTGCTATTACTACTACTAAATACATGATCGGAACTCCACTTCTGGTATACATGGAAACAGATGAACAATAACACAAATGGCCTGGCCGCTGTTAAATCGTGCTGCGCCTCCACACTGGACACTACGGTAAGCCGGTGAGACAAACAAAGCCCCAGCCCAGTCCTAGCTCGCAACAGTGACGTCAGCGCGCAGCGGCGGTGCAGTGACGCGCGGCGATTGGGTGAGCGAGGTGCTAAACTGTGTTGTACAGTAAAAAGACAGAGACACCGACAACAAAACAACAGCTGCGGCCGCATGAGGCCAGCTAAAGACACACTCGCACCCTCCGGGCTCACACTATGACGACTTCGGGTAAGGAAACCTACTCATAATGGGGTTTTTGTAGCTTACTCTGTTAGCTAATTTAGCCCCTCAGCGGCTTCCGCCCTCTAGGAAGTTTCTTTTGTCCTCTTCAGTCAACAACAACAAAACAAGCGAGTCGGTGTGCTGACCGGAGACGGAGGTGTGCTGGTTTGGTTTCATTACAGTATAACAACAAGTCCTTACTGATATTAAACGCGAGTTCGTATTGTCAAAACAAGTCGGTTATTATCTGTCCGTTTCTGTGTGAATACCTTTGGACTGGCTAATATCAGGGACAGTGGAACAGATAGGCTGGGTGTGTTAGATAGGGCAGCATCGGCGCTACAATGGATGATGCCATTTTATGATCCATGAATAATTAGCTAACGTGCTTTTTGTTAATCCAGCACAAGGCACCTTCTTTATTACAGGAGATATTCGGAAACATGTTGTTTTAATCATTTCATTTGTATGGGTAATATCCCTCATGTCTGTTATCTAGTTCTCCCAAACAGGTAAAGTGCAGGACAACACTGATATTAGCCAGCTGTGGTCTTAATAACATTGAAACACATTGACATTGAATTGTGCACAGCATGCATATCTACTTATGGACATTTCCCTGTCTGCAATATACAGTCATTTGTGGATTTTACTGTATCACTGTTTCTAATTTTGCTCTAATCCTGCTTCTCCAGATGCCCCGATGGCTACAAACTTCACCATTTCCAGCGACAGCGAGTCAGAGTCTTCGGAGGAGGTAGAGGAAGGAAAAAACAACCAATCATCAACAGCGGAAGAGCAGCGGGCTCCTCAACGTCACACTCTCACCCTACCTGAGCTCAGAATGGCTGGTAGGAAACATTAAATAAAAGTGGGAAATTGTGGGTTTGGAGCTGGAACTGAGGAGCACATTTGCCACTCTTGGTTCACAAATCTGCCAAAGTATGTTTGGAAGACTCAGAGTTTATCTTCATTTGTCACCACATTTACTGCCTGTTAATCGAAATCAGACAGGTAGAGTTTGTTGTATTTCTGCTCCAGTTCTCAGCATCGTGTGCAGTTCCATGCTCAAAATAATATCACCTTGCCATTCCAGATCCCCAAATATTAAACCTTCAAGTGTAATGTGTGTTAGCATGTCATGACAATATGCTAATATTCACCAGGGCAGTGGTGTATAGTTAAAACCTAAACCCATGACTGCTTGTTTGCTCGTTATTAATGAACAGTTTTTGTAGAAAAATAAAGCAATATCCTGTTATATTTTCTGCTCCAGTTTAGTTTTCTGCAACAGCTGCCAGAGTGCAGCTCCTATTCTATCACAGAATATGGAAACCACTCATTCATCGCTCGTTTGTGTTCCCACTTTTTTTGTCCTGCCATTTCTTGGCTTTGTTGCTTAGACTTCATTTAGCAGAAACCTGGTCTTTCTTTCTGGTCTGTACTTTGGGACATTTAAATGAGATTGCACTGTTGCATCAAATAGTTTCCCTCTATTTTATCCACATAGTTTGACACATTGCTCCAATGATAACTAGGGATTAATATCCCTCTATTACTAATTTATCTCCCTACTGTTCCCTTTCCCAGTGTTTTATGTTGATTTAATCCTGCTCCTCTGAAGCATTACAAACCCCTCTCACCTTTGCCTTTCACCATGCAGGGACCGGTCGAATCAGGCTGAACTCAGAGTCCCACGCCTCCACTGTCTCCAGAGACGAGGAGCTCCAGGCTAGGGGGGAAGATGAGGCTGGTACACCAACTGATGGAGCTCCCTTCAGGGGCCGGTCCAAGTCAGCTCCCCCTGCCTTGTGGGCGGCCAAGAAATATGGCCGGCAGCTCCGAAGGATGAGCGACGAGTTTGACAGCCTGCTTGATAAAGGGGTGAGAATGAGGGGGTTAGAGGATGGAAGATGTGTTCAAATGGGGTTAGAAAAGGAGACGTCAGTGACTGTAGATATATTTGGCATAGTTGAGGGGAAAAGGAGCAATAATGATACGATTAGAAGGATTAAAAAGTTGGTGATGATAGATGTGTTTTTGGTAAAGGAAATTGATCACGCTATGTGGTAGAATGATAATCAAATTGAGGAACCAGGAACAAAATGATCCTTTTACAAGTGTAACTGACCAGTCTCGTTTTAACTTTACACTGTGTCTCCATTTCATGCAGGAAATGAAGAAGGTGAGGAGTGCTGGGTCGGCCAGACAGATGCACCACTCTAGAAGCTGGTGGAGCTACCTCTTTAGTCACCAGGAGACAGAGGGAGAGAACAACCATCATGAAAACCACACGCACCGCACTGAGTAGGCACTGAGGGGGGAAATAAGAGTGTTACAGTGTTTGAGGAACGGAGGAATCGACGGGGATGAGAAGAAAGCAACGGGGAAGCCAAGAGAACAATCAGACCTGCTCTGAGAAGGGACTGAAAGGTTGGTTTGATCAACAACAAAAAAAAGATCCAAACATAAAGGCATGTCTAAGTCATGTCATTTTTATACGTCATTGGTAACTACATTTAAAAAAAAAAAATGTTTGTATTTGTGTTGGTTGTGATGTAACAATATTCTGGAGCAGTCAGGCATGAGGATAGACTGCGGGCTATCTGAACCCCGTAGAACGGATAAAATGAGGGGCAAAGAGGAGAGATGATGTCTTCAAAGAAAGACAAGCATATTAAGTGGATTTAAGAGGTGACCACTCAGTTAAAAGATGCTTACCATTTCAGCCTCAGTCTCTCCCATCAACAACATGCAATATACTGTAGATGGAGAGTTAAAAGTACTGAAATGATCAAAACACCTGAGCCCACCTTGAATGCTGTTAGAATTTCCTTCCTCGTTTTCTTGAGGAAGTCACAAACGTCAATGTGTTACTAATGCTTGTTCAGCTCCACGATTGTGCTAGACAAAGACAATGCTAATGGAGATCTTTGTAAATGTGTGCCAAAATGATCCGCAGGCAATGGAGGAAAGAGTATAAAAAGGAAGGATTTTTTTAAAGTATTCAACTTGGGCCTTTATCCAGCTTCTTGTTCTGCTACATGCAAGCCACTACCACAACTTAAAAAACAACTGTACTTGACTATCATTAACTGCTTTATATCTCAAATGTATCAAAAGAAGAACAATCTTGTACAAGGACAATCTCTGATGATGCAGAAATAATATCTTTTGTAAAACTTAAGGGTTAGATTATATCTGAAGAAAATGACATTAAACATACATATAAAAGCACAAACCAATATGAATCTATCTTTTTAAAGCTTTGGATGAGCAAAAACAAAACCAACAGATTTTGGAATTTTTATGTGTAAATATTTTGTTAACATTTTATCAAATGGCAGGGGTGGAGGTTACAAACTACGTGGTTTAGCCAGAATTTTATTTTACAAACTCTTATTTTACGAGGTTACCACGCTATTTAATAAGTCTGGCCAACCTAGCAATAGGCAGTGTACAATCCATGGCTGTTGTAATAAATGTTATGTGTATATTTAAAGATGTGGGTGGGGATGAATTAACTGCTGTACAAGAAGCCAACACACTAGCCTTTGGTCCCGTTTGCTCAGTACCCAGTGCGCATAGAAGAGGGATTTAGAGAGTCTAGTCACATTTAAACACAGGTGGAAGGGATTTAAACTGGATTTGCAGAGTTTGTTTTGTAAAAATCAGTTCCCAGTCCTGTTGGGTTTATAAAACAGTTTGTTTAAAAGCAGGTTGTTCGCTTTCATCTGCATCGGGACGTGAATAAATTGGGATATTAATCAAGCCCAAAGTCTAAGAGTGCTAATCGGATGCTAGATTTGCTATTTATGTATTATATTCAGGCTTTTGAGGGTGACTTGTCACATACTACACATAATATGACCTTTTATGAAAGTTATTATTAATATAAATGACTATAAACTACAACCAGCACTTCTACACAGCTTGGTAAATATGATTAGGCTATTTGTGACTTGTTAATCAATATGTGATTATTGAAAATGGTAATAGGTTTGTTCTACTGTGTCTTATTCTCTTCCACTCGACTTGTAGGGTTGAGTTGTGAAGTGCTCGGGTGTGCAGGCCAAGGGGCTGCATTTGTGTCGTCTTTCAACTAAAGCTTTTGCTAAACCTGGTTAAGGACATTTTTTAAAACAATCTGAATGGCACCACCTTTTTTAGGATTCAGTCTACCATGTGTTTGGTAACATCTGCATCACCCTGACTGTGTAAGATTGACTGGCACAGTTTGGTGACCCTTTTAAATTGAATTAGTATCTGGTATAAAGCTCCCAACACAATTAATACAGTTAGATGATGCTGTTCATCCTCAAAACAAACAAAGGAAGTGGTGCCACCATTTTATGATATCAGATCTGGGAGCAGGGAAATGAGGGATGACTTTACTTCACATTTGAACAACTCACTCCTAGTAGACCTGTACCTGTACTTTGAGACAAGTAGTACAGTTGAATCAGCTGGCAGTGAAAATGTACATGGTGTTGAGAGCTTGGGGCCAGATATGAATGCTTTACTCTCTCGAGAACAAAGTTCAGCTGGAATCGAAAAGAGTGTGATGTTGTTCTGAACTGCCTTGAACGTGCTGTAACCTGTGATGTGACACCACATAGCCAGCCTTGTCTGTTTACTCAATTACCGCCTTAAACTTTACCGCTCGCTGTCACATATTACGCTCAAGAAAAGAAGCACAATAATGTGGAGGGTGCGCTTGCTGTCACAACTGTGAGGAAAAATCCCATTTCACAAGACGTCATGGTTTTGACTTTAAATATCTGTGGCAGAGAACACACTCTAGAGGAAAACCCTGCCTGGGCACCTGGAGTTTTGCAACCATCCTTGATATTACTTGAATCTGGAGATGTGTGTGGAGAAAATGTAATTCTAATATTGAGTACTTTTTTTTTTTTTCTTTTGATTCCTTTTCATTTTTTTGAATGACTTTTGTAAATGTATTTTCTCTACAGCTGTGAAACTTCTGGTATATGCTGTCCTGAATAAATAATTTTAAGAGTGGTTTTAAAGTGAGTGTTTTAATTCATGGACAATTCAGATGGAAAAGCTGGAACACAAAAGCCATAATAATACTTTGTGAGAGTATGATTAAATAACAGTAAGATGCAATAACAAAATAGTCTTAAAAGGCTGGCA